CAAATTGAGTACCTTGTGGTCTTCTTGAGTCTAAACTCGATTCAAGTTTAAGTCTTTTATGATTTGTTCAAGTAGCAAGTTCAAACTCTTCTTGCTTGAGTTTAGCTTAAGTCATTTGCTCATTTGATTATAATCATATTAAGCTCCTTTAATTTGTTCATTTAGGTCCAAAGCATGTCTTCACTTGTTCAAAATTTGTTCAAATCCTTGTCTTATTTCAAACAAAATTTTGGCAACCTCCCGGCATCTCCCCTGTTTAGGGGAAAAACTAAGAGGTCGTCTACCCGCCACGTCAATAAAGATGTGCACGGTTGATGTTTGTGAGACACCGCGGCGGTGATTTTTTTTTATTTTATCCACCACGCCAATAAAGGCGTGCATGGGGTTTTAAAAAGCATTTTTTTAAAAAAATGGTTTTTTTATTGCCCCGTCGTGCTAAGAAAAGCGTGCACAGAGATTGCCCGCCTTCGTCGTAAGCGTCGTATCAAGTTCCCTCCCACCACGCTAATAAAAGCGTACATAGGGGGTCCCTCGGCACGCCGAAAACAGGACTTTAAGGGGGATTACCCGCCTCTCCACAAGTACTGTGACGAGCTCCCTCCCACCATGCTAATAAAAGCGCGCATAGGTGGTTACTCGCCGCAACACAAGTGCCGAGGGCGGGCTCTCGGAGTTAATTAATTATTTTAAATTAGAATAATTAATTCATAATTAACTTAATTAATTTAACATTAACCATAATTAATAATAATGATTTAAATTAGAATAATTAATCATAATTAAAGTTAATAATGAAACCCCCCTTTTTGCTATAAACAAATTCAGCTTTAGTAAAGTAATTTGGCTATCTTAAATCTCTTATGTCAAAAACTTTTTTTAAGTAGTGCTTTACCAGTTTACCTCAGAAATATCAGTTTGATCGCTTCTAATGAGCAAAAGATATTATCATATAAACTACTAGTATGATGGAGCCTAAAGTTGTATGTCTAACATAGATAAACTAAATCTCATTTAAGACTTACAACACTTTTTCAAATAAAGGTCGTGGATTTTAAGTTCACAAGTAACCTTCATGAGTTGGCATATATAGCTCTCACCCTGAAAAACAAACCTTGGATGTTTAGAAAAAGATATTACTCGAATTGCCTCATTTAGGAGAAGATGAAAGGTTATCAAGAAGAGGAGAGAATATAATTGATGAGATAGTAAGTGGTTAAGAATGCATCACCTCAAAAGTTAGCTTGAGACAATTTAGTTGTGTGCATAAATACCTAAAAGGCTTTCAGATTTTTTACCGAAGTTGATCATGTTCTTGAAGGGTGAAGAGAATTTTCGACTATATTATGGAGGATGATGATGTTTGTCCCCTTCATATCCTCCTTGGATGAATTTCTCCTTCATCATCCCTTATTTGGGATGGACTTCTCATTCATCTCTCTTCTTTGGGATGGATTTCACTAGCTCTGCATTACAGTTGAAGTCCTCAAGTTCTCCCTCTGATATCATTTCAACTCTTGGGAGTAGAGTTCTTTGCATACCAAGAGAATTGCTGCAATATAATTATGAAATAATTGTCCTAAATTTTAACATATATATATATATATATATATATATATATATATATATATATATATATATGTTAAAATTTAGGACAATTATTTCATAATTATATTGCAGCAATTCTCTTGGTATGCAAAGAACTCTACTCCCAAGAGTTGAAATGATATCAGAGGGAGAACTTGAGGACTTCAACTGTAATGCAGAGCTAGTGAAATCCATCCCAAAGAAGAGAGATGAATGAGAAGTCCATCCCAAATAAGGGATGATGAAGGAGAAATTCATCCAAGGAGGATATGAAGGGGACAAACATCATCATCCTCCATAATATAGTCGAAAATTCTCTTCACCCTTCAAGAACATGATCAACTTCGGTAATAAATCTGAAAGCCTTTTAGGTATTTATGCACACAACTAAATTGTCTCAAGCTAACTTTTGAGGTGATGCATTCTTAACCACTTACTATCTCATCAATTATATTCTCTCCTCTTCTTGATAACCTTTCATCTTCTCCTAAATGAGGCAATTCGAGTAATATCTTTTTCTAAACATCCAAGGTTTGTTTTTCAGGGTGAGAGCTATATATGCCAACTCATGAAGGTTACTTGTGAACTTAAAATCCACGACCTTTATTTGAAAAAGTGTTGTAAGTCTTAAATGAGATTTAGTTTATCTATGTTAGACATACAACTTTAGGCTCCATCATACTAGTAGTTTATATGATAATATCTTTTGCTCATTAGAAGCGATCAAACTGATATTTCTGAGGTAAACTGGTAAAGCACTACTTAAAAAAAGTTTTTGACATAAGAGATTTAAGATAGCCAAATTACTTTACTAAAGCTGAATTTGTTTATAGCAAAAAGGGGGGTTTCATTATATCACTATATTAAAATAAATATAATACTAATCCTCTTCAAGAAATTGATCCTCTTGCTTGCAAGCTGACTGATACACCTATATAGACTAAACCACATCAAATAACGAAGAGCTATTTGATGATCTAAGTTGGATTTATGAAAAGTTATCGGGCCTATGATTCTGATGCTCCTAATATTTCAATTGAAAGCATGAACATAATTCATGATCCTTCTAATATATTATCCCTCACTTTCTACTAAGTATCGAAGATGTCAATTACCATGTTTCAAAGCAGCCCTATGATTCTAATGTGAGTCTCAAATCTCATTTATAAGGCGGATTAAAAATAAGAAAAAAATTTATCAGCACTCCTCAAATTCAACAAATGATGCATGCAAATTTCAAAAAAAAATTTGTGTAATTTGAATGCTATAGTTTTTTCTTTTTGATGCTACCCTATGATGGAAAGCATCCAATGATAATGAGTAGGTAGTGCTTGTGCTTGGCAAATGTTGGGTGTGCTAGTTATTTTGGTGCCTTAGTTCTTGGGCTATTGGTTGCTTTTCGATTTGGGCTTGGCTGCTCGGTTTTTTTGCTGTGTTTTTGGGGGCTGCTATGTTCCAGCTGATTAATGCTTGAGTTGCTGTTTTTTCAGCTCATTACTTCGGGAAGTTCTCCTACTTTCAGCTCATTATGTAGAGTGGACTCTTGCTCTTTCACCTTCTCTGTGGCCCTTCAGTTTTCCCCGCCTGGCTCCTATCCCATGGCTGGTTCTTCTCCCCTGGTTGCCTGTTCTGGTCCCCTGGTCGTCCGTTCCTGTCCCACTTTTGGCTCTTCAGGTGCTGCTTCTGGACCGCCTGCTGACCTTCCATTTCCCCTATCCTGATTCGATTGATTGGAGGTGGTTTTGGCTACTTGGCTGCCCCTTTTCTTCTATAAATATGAGATATTTTGATGCATAAAAGAATGTTGATTGTTGAGCTAAGTTCTCTAAGAAAACCTGAGGGTTTCTTCTTGGAAAAGCTTGAGAGCTTGTTCCATTTCTCTCTTCCTCTCTTCAAATTCGTCTAGGGCTTCTTATCTCTTTCTTCTCTCCGCAGGTTCCACTTCACTTGTATCTTTCTTCTTGAGCTATTGGAGGTGTTGGTTGGCCGGTTTGGTAGTATTTGCTGGAGGAGTTTTGGTGGACGTTGCCCCTTGTAGCTGTGGTGGACCCTTGGTTTGCATGCCCTTTAGCACATCTTTTATATTACCTACTATTTCGTTGCCTGTGAGGAAACCGCTAGTCGGTTGTTATGAGGGCAGTTGTTTTTATTTTTAATTTAATTTTCGTTTGTTTGGGTTTTGTTTGTTTCGATGTTTGTTTGGATGTTAGCATTCTAAGTTTTGAATCGAGAAATGTTCTACTTATCCTGGTGCCATCTCCCCTTGTGGCTTTTTCTATCTAGTTATCCGCATCAACAAACTTCAAGCAAGATGTTGCAAATGAGTGATTATGTAGTTTTCCTTTTCTATTGAAGGATTCCTCAAACAATGCCATCATGTTATATGTAGTTTTGTAGTGATTTTTACTTTTTCACCAGCAATTCTTCATAATTGCCACATGTTATATTCATATCATTAACTAATTATAAAACTATGCTTTTAGAAAAAAAATTGACTTGGGGCTCAAAGCACTTACCTTAAATAAGTTATGACTAGAAAGGATGGTAATAATACATATTTCATAAATAAAACATGCTTAACAAATACTAAACTTTAGGACTCATTTGGAACCATTTTCTATTTTTGTTTTTAAAAAAAATGTTTGGTTTATGTCTTTTAATTGTTTTTTTTTTTAATAGATTATAGGCGTTTTCACTTTTTAATGAAAACCACCTTAACTAGTCAGCCACTACAGCCATTATCATCACCGGCCACCGAAGTCGCCTCTTTTGCTTACCCCCACTACCGGCCACCAACCCCACTGCCATCTACAACCAAATGTCGGACGCTCATCAAAACCACCTACCAACACCACCCCACCACCTTGCCAAATGAATCAATTTATGTGATATTAAATCAAAACAAAAAATAATACATATTTATGATACCAAATATTTTTTTATTTCAAATCAAAATATATAAAAAAAAAAACAAATAAAAAAAGATATAGAAGGTGACCCAAAACAGCCCTTAGGTTAATTTTAATAATATTGTGATTTTGCCTTTGACCTCAAAATATTATTGTGGTTAGTTTTAATAATATTAATTTTAAAGTGGCCCAAACAGCCCAAAATAATTATAATTCATCAGTGGTTTTTCCTTTGACCTCCAAAGTTTATGTCAAAGGTTCAAATCTCAGCTAAAATACTGTAAGACTAAACTTCAATGCAATGGCAATTTTCTTATGTAATCCTCACTTCATGACTTGAAAAAACAAACGAAAAACTATAACTATATCAGCAAATATACATCTATATGAAACATGTTTCTCTATTTATTCAGTCAAAGTTTCACGTCATATGTATGACGAAACTATACGCTGATTCCTACTCTTAACTTTCCATATGAAGGCAAATTCTAACTTAAAATTTCTTGCCTGTTTTATTAGATGTTACTTCTTCACCAAGGGAGCTTAGTGCTTCTGACTGAGAAAGTACTTGTGAACCAACCATATTGGCAAATATTGTTGCTGACTCTTTGTGATCTTCGGTGAGTCCAATATACAACATATGATCCAATCTACCCTGGAACATTTTTGCAACTAATTAACAAGCAAAATGAATTTAAAAGCTTATCTGCATATGCAGTGGCCAACAGAGACCTCAACTTTTATTCCCCTCACCTTAGCTACTTCTAAAACATAGTGATCGAGGTTTGGGTGCCTTCTAACACAGCGCCGTATTTTAGGAGCTTCAGCAAGGAACGAATTGTTTGTTAACCCGGCTAACTGTAAAAGGACAAAAAGTTAGGAAATATGCCCCAAGTCAAATATCTTGAATTCCAATAAACTTCAAAACAGATATCTGAAACTATGGAAATTGAGATGCCTTCCTCATAAAGTATCAATTGCACTAAAAAGATAAGCTGATGAAGGCTTCATTTCGGACGACTTCTTTATTGCTTTTTAAAACAGAGTTTTCATATAAAAATTTAAATTTTTGTATAAAACTCTGTTTTAAGATACAATAAAAAAGTAGTCCCAAACGAAGCCAAAATGTAATTAATACCAGAAAATTCAACATATTACTCAATATAAGGAGTCCAACGAATAGAAAAATATCATAGGTGCTGCATTATAGTGCAAGGGGTAGTAAAACAATGACAATAAGAAGAGTTAGCAGTCCTAAATGAATTCATTTTTCTTTTTAAAACAGAAAAACCAGCCAAAACTCAAATGATACTTCCACATCAGCAAACTTCCAACTTTATTATTTAATAGCAAGACCATAATACATCAAGGTTTTCTAGCATAACTCGTTGTGTAGCTCATTTTTCAGTAGAAAGTTTCCTTACCAGCCATTTAGGAAAAAAATTGTTCGACTTACATTGCATGATAAGAATCATTAGATACCACTTAGGTTCCCGATTCATGAACAAGTTTTAACAGCACATCACAAGAGCAGGTGATGCAAACCAGCAAGAAGGATAGGGATTACTGCAAATCCGCTACTGAACTTTTATCACTTTATTTGAATACCTTTATGATAAAGTTGATAAAAAATTTATTACACTTTGATTCATCAAGCAAATTAAATATTCTTTAATTATTTTTTATTTGTCATGAGTTTTTGAGTCCAAGTAAATTAAATATTCTTCAATTACTTTTTTATTTGTCATTAGTTTATTTATCAAGGATGTCAACACTTATTGTATGGGGACCTATAAAAAACATTTTCATAATCTTTCTAATCAAAATTGAATTATTGAAGAAAAGGAGTTCTGGTTGTCTAGATGGATTTCCTCCCTCCTGTGCTTTAAGGATTCAACGCTTCCTCAAAAGCTTAAAGGATTCCACATCAATAGCTTGAGGTTTTATTGTATATGTTCTTCTTTATCCTTCAACCTTTTTCTCTCTCAAATTCCCCAATAGATTGACCATCCAGCTTCCAATCTTAATCACTTAGGCTTTGGAAAAAAAATTCCCGTGTCATTGCAATTTTTATTTTTTATTGGCTCACTTGTAGAATTCCCAATCCCCTGCGGTTTTGCAATTGTTTTCAAAATTTTAATTTGTTTTCACTATAATTTTCCTGTCCATTTGTGTTGCTCAGTTGCTCTGCCCCTTTGCCAATTGTTTTTTTTTTCCATTTACTATAGTGCAAAATTCATACTTTGCTATTCTTTTGTTTACTGCTATTTTGTAGCAGCAGTACGACTGGTGTCTCTGCAAACCCCTGAAAACCAACCACTAATTGCTTTTCCAGCAACAAGAAATTTCTACAACAGCTCTCCATTCAGTTGATCAGAACATTATCGACATCAAAACTTTAAAATTTAAAATTTCAAACTTTCTCAACAAATAACTCAAACCATGGACCCATTGGAAGGCACATAATTATCCATAATTCATCCATCAAATATGTTTTTCAATTTGAATTTAAATTTAAAGCTCAAATTCATATTCACAACCATCCAACTATCTATTAAATTGCCTCAAAAACCACATTTAAGGGTACATTTGGGGCAGCTGCTGCTTTTTGTAAATGTAGTTGCGAAATGGTATGGGAAAGCAACTTTTTTACACGTGGTTATATGCATTATAATTTTTTTAAAAATATTGGACAACAACTTAGAGATACCACAATCTAGCAAATATGGTTGTAAAACACACCTTCCAACAACAAAAAATTCTGAAAAGTAGTGAAAAAATCATAGCGAAATGAAAGTGGCATCATTGTGAAAAACAAAGTAATGAAAATTTTGTTCAAAGCAAACTCTAAAATGGACTTCAAATTAAAATTTCGAACCAACTACTCCTTTCCTAAAATTTCTCCACTTAATTAAGCAACCTAATCCAATTCTAACTAACCCTAGACCTAATCTTATAAATGTAACACTCTTAACCAATTCTTGCATGAAATTTCAAATCATAATAACCAACAAACTCTAAACCCCCACTTGGCATCCACCTCCGCATGCACTGAACTCTCTCCTTCTAAACTTTTTCCGTAAGTAGACGAGCCTTTTCTGTTAGCAAAAAAGGAAGAGAGAGCAAAAGAAAGTGATGGGGACATCAGATTTCGACACGTGTACCATCGCCGACGGCGCAGATCGACGGCTACGATCCAGAGCCTCTACTTTTGAGTTTTACAGCTTATGTCATGTATTATTTTCTTAGTTTTCCTAGTTTGCCCCTGAGGGCATTGTTTGACTTATGTAGCCCCGAGAGCGTTTATGTCTTTTCTTTTCTTTCAGTTTGAGCCTCCTTATATGAAGCAATATGCATTGTAATTTTTTTTAGTTTTTGATGAAATGAAATTTGCCACTTATGTTCTCTTTGTGAGTTCACCCTCCTCGATCTCTTTGTGAGTTCGTAGGGGAAAACTAGATCTCTTAGTGCGTTCTAGGTGTTCTTGTTCTACAACTTTCGTTAGTTCTTTTGATCATTTCGTCGGCGTGGAGATTTGGATCAAAGCATTTGTGGAGTTTGGAATTCCCTTTGGAGTTCCCCAATATTTCGTTTTCTACCATTTCTCCCTCCCCTTGCTCTGCCGCCGCCCCTTCCAAGCAATCCAACCGCCCACCGACCTGCAGCTGCCCCGCCTCCAGTCGGCCAGCAGCCTTGTCGCCACCTTCCCCTCGCCCTCCCAGGCCGCCGACTGAAGCCCCACGGCCATCCCTAGGGCCACCGCCGGATCTGCTCCACCGTCCAGGCTTGCCCGCATGTCCAGGTTGCCGGATCCAAAGCCCTGGCTTGTCCCGCGACTTCAACCCACGGAATTCCCTGTCACGTGAACTCCCAACCCCTGGATTCAGCCACTTTCCTAATTGGCACCTATTCAATTAGGGAAGTTAATCAAAGAGATTACAGCCACTTTCAAATTTCAAATTCGTTTCCTTCTTGCTTGCATTCGAATTGGGAGGTTACCTAATCTATTTAAATTCAGATTTTAATTAGTTAATTAACCTAGTGGTCCCCGCTTGTTTATTCCCCCAAACTCCTCACCTCTCTCTTTGGCCGGCCACCTCCCTCTCTTTCTCCCCTATTAATTTTCTTAATTGCTCTTTTAACTCTTTCCCTCCTAATTCTAATTTCAAACCTCAAATTCTGAAATTAAATTTAGGAGATCTCCTATTTGGGAAAATCTGAATCCAATTTCAAATTTTAAGTTTCTCTCCCATAGCTCCACCCGCCCAAGCATTCCCCCCCCCCCAAACCCGTGACTGTCCTCCTCCTTTCCCCCCTCCTTGGTTCACGGCTTGCCTCCTTGCTTCCCCTCGTTGGGTTTCTTCGCTCACTACCGCCATGCATGGATGAACCCGAATGGAATTTCGGATTTGAATACGACCACAACGGAAGAGTCGACATTCTCCATTCACCCTTCTTCGACGTGGGATTCGACTTCGACGACACCCCCGAAGAATACTTGGACCGGATCTTACCAGCTCTCGTGGACTCCATAGACGATCATTTCTCCGTCTATACGTGGATCATCGAAAGCCGTCCACCCGTTCCTCCGAACCCGACCTCCATCCCGGCGACAAGTCCTCTCAAGATCACTTGTCTACTCGTAGCGTCGCTAAGCCTACTTACGGTCCTTTTCCGCTAAGCCTACTTACGGTCCTTTTCCGCTAAGCCTCCACTTCAAATTGAGTGACGGATCCTAAGGTGAAGGATCTAAATTTTAAATTTGGGGCTTTGGTAAATTTTAGCTATTCGCATTACTTGAAGTTTTGATGTTATTTTGAAAAGCTTTTTAATCTCTGACTGTGATTTCTTGTTGTTACTTTATCATTCGTCTTCTAATTCTTGGACTTCAATTGATTACGCATAAAGTTTTAGTAGCAAGCTTTGATTCAATATTTCTATTAATTTTAAGTGCAGTTCACATCTCATCGCATGGTGGATTCACATCAGAAAGATAAGAGAGTTTTTTTTAATGTTTATTCAAGACATCTTTCTTCAGGTTTATTCATCTGAAAATCTCTAGCCTCATCTTCCTTCTTCAAGGTTGATGATAATCATATGAAAATCTCCTGCACCAAACCCAGTTAAACTACAAGCCCGAAATTTAACTGTGCTCCCCAGCATGTATTGAATACATATGGAAATTGGACTTGGCATATGTTATTGAGAAAACCTAGAACCATGCAAAGGTTTATGCTTTAGGAAGCTCCACTTGAACTTCAATAAAAGCCACGATAATCATAACTGATGCTAAGGCTTTTCCTAGCAAAAATTTTTCTTAAATTTAACTAGATTGTGTTGTTAATTTCTATATAGATGGATCATAGTCGAAATTGGACTATTGCTTTCACTTATATGTACTGAAACTGAAATTTTAATATTTGAATTTCATATGCAATCGAATTTTAAAGTCAGCAATTGATTCATTATCATATTGCCTATATGATCATGCTGCTAGCTGCATTTGATATCTCATTCTAAGGTTGGTTTTCAGCGTTGCTACATATTTTCATGAATCTTAAGCCTTAAGAGGGAAATATGGGATGTTGTCACAACTAATAGAACAAGATAAATGCGGGATAGATAATGTGAAAAAAATATGGAATGTAAGCGAGATAAGTTCAGAAAAATTTAGAAAATAAATTTAATAATTGAAAAAATTGAAGAAAATGTTTGTTCAAATGAAAAACTTAAATTTTAAATGAATCAAATTAAAAATACGAAAGAATGAACCTCTTGTGGTGTTCCTCCCTTGCTTAACAAACCCCATTAACAATCCACCTTATAGAAGCCTTTTAACTTCAGTCGGATACCATAGATGATATAAAGGAAAAATTTCATTATAATATACCTATCAAGAGACTCCAACAAAAATCCTAATAAACCTCTTAGACCTTCTCAACCGATTAGAAACATCCCTATGGTAAGCCATGATAATCATGACCCTCAAAATGAGCAGGGTAGAAACCAGATAGCTATAGAGATAATCAAAACCAATAACAATCTTAAAAAAGGATCATAGACAATGGGTATCATCGAGATCCTCTTGAAGATTACTATCCTAGTAATGAACAATTGCATAAATTAAATGTTGATTTACATGAAGAAGATATGTAACTCTAATACAATCTCATCTAAATGTTTATAAAGCTTTCGTATAAGGCTATGATCTAAGTTTATCTATCTTTATTGCATTTTCTGCACCCCCACTTACTTATCTTTTCCTTTCAGCGCCAAAAATATTTATTATTTTTATAAATAATAGGGATCTAATATGTAGTACATGCTTTGCCTTTTAACATTATCATTGGCCATACGTTTAATGTTGAAACTCTATTACTTAGTCGGGTATCCTCGAGCCTATAGTACGTATTATTGTTGCACCTATAAGTGAAATTTTTGCAAATCACTGTATTTTTAAACTCTTTCGCTATCATCATCTCTATGGAAGAATTAAGTGATACAAAAACTATTTTAATTCAACTAAGATATCACATTCCTTGAAGCAATTAAGACAATTTCTATAATGAGTGGCTACACCATTTTCCCAATTGTCTAGAAATTTTTTTCACTTTTTCTCTTTGGAGGAAAGTAAATGTCTTGACAGAATGATGTAATTTATCAAGCATGACTGGTCTTTGTAGGTCATCCAATACATGGCTTTTTCATTTTATCAAACAACCTTGATGCTCAAGTTGAAGACCTAATGAAATCTTTATTCGCACATTGTTTAATTTAGAAAATTAAAATATTCTTCAATTTCTTTCTTTTTCTAATGATAGCTGATGTAGACAAAGGGGGGGTCAACTCATGTCCAAAATAAATCAATTTTGGCATCCCTCGACTTTACAAGCTCAATCAAAATTGAGCTGAAATTTTAGCTCATTTATGAGCTGGTCTTTAGTTCGCTTATTGAACTAAGGATTAACTCATTATTAGCTAACATTTTAGTTCATAATTATCTTTTTATTAAATATACTTTTTATTGTTTTTATGTCTTTAATTATGTTTGTCTCTTGGAATTTCAAACCGGCTTTTGGAATTCCAAGAAGTGTTGTTCCCCATGTGTGGCTCCTTGGCTTTCACCATGGGCTATTGTTTTTTGTGCCTTTGCCCTAACTGCTCTCTCTCCTTCCTCCTCTCCTATAGAGTCCAATGTCGGGCATTTACTTCAAGATTTATGTAAGTTTTAATATATATAGCGTGAGGCGTAAGCCTCATACCAATGAGGCGAGGTGGGCCTCATCCAAGTTGAGGCGCAAGCCTCATAAAAAAAAACTCGAGGCGTAAGCATCGAGGCGTTTTTTACTGGAATTGCGCAAAGGCAAGCCTCATATTGCGCAATTTTAAACCATGGCCACGGCCACGGGAAAACACCCAGGCTAGGAAAACCAGCAGCCGGCCGGAAATCCAAGGGGCAAAGGCACAAAAAATAATAGCCCATGGTGGAAGCCAAGGAGCCACACATGGGAAACAACACTTCTTGGAATTCCAAACCGGACATAATTAAAGACATAAAAACAATCAAAAGTACATTTGATAAAAAGATAATTATGAACTAAAATGTTAGCTAATAATGAGCTAACCCTTAGTTCAATAAGTGAACTAAAGACTAGTTCATAAATGAGCTAAAATTTCAGCTCAATTTTGATTGAGCTTGTAAACTTGAGGGAGGCCAAAATTGATTTATTTTGGACATGAGTTGACCCCCCCTTTGTCTACATCAATAGCTTATTGGTCAAAGATACTTAAGCAATTATTGGATCTAAGGTTCATTCATAAAAGGCCTTTCCATTACCAATTACAATGGGACTTAGATTATTGAATAACATGAATTTATGGGTGACAAATAGAGCTTGAGCATACCCTCCCTCTTATGCTTTAAGGATTCATCATTTCTTCAAAAGTTTAGATTCAGAATAATGGAGAAGTATTATATGTATTTTCCTCTACCTCTTTTTTCTCTTGCAAATAATCTAATAAACATGCCATTCATTTGCCTATCCGAAATTAACAACTCATCAACTTTTAGAACAACATGTTCCATCAATGGATTAGTCTTGTTCTGTTATGATTATGGACTAGACCTTTAGGTAATTATGGACTTCTTTAGCTGCCAATAATTCTTAAGGGTTAACGCTCCAACTTTTTTAGAACGTGCACTAAAAATCAAGTCTCAACTTCCTAATGACTTGAATTAAATTTTCTTGAACAATGAATCTTTGGGTTCTATCTACGGGAGAATCACTAACTTTTCAAAAAATATATCTAAAAATAAGGCAAGTCATCCAAAAGGTTGATAACTTAACATGCCAGGTGTCTTTTTCCTTCTTTTTTTACAAAACAGCACCCCTAAATGACCATGGTGTTTGGCATACAGCATTAGATCAAGCATGCTCCCTCTACTAAATACTACCGAGGGCTTCACATTATGAATTTATTAATTATTTCTGGTGTACTCCTCACTTCTTCGGTTTGTGAATTTTAATTTTGAACAAACACTGCAGTCATAAAGATATAAAAGGCTGATTACTGAATAAATTTCAATGAATCATAAGATCTTTTTTCCCTAACTACATAGCAAATAATTCATATCCTGTGCTTTTCAGTTGTGATTTTGCATCCTATGTAGAAAAAAATAAAGTGTGGATATGCTCTGTCGTAATAGATGTTTTGCAAGGCATGGATCAGTTCACTAAATATTGGCAAGTAATAACTACAATCAAAGCAAGGTCTCCCTGCCGAGCAAGTTATGATAACTATCTTAAGCTGCCATAAGACAGTGTAATCCAACATTGATAGGTTTCTGCGTGCATGCAAAAAGGCTGTCAAACTCTACTGCGATTCATCAGTTTGTGTGATGACTACAACCCATAAAAGAAGAGACCAACAAAAGAGGCCAAAACAAAGTTGAAATGCATCAAAACAAACTAGCATACCTGAAAGGTGGCTCCATTGTGAATAATTTCATGTGCCATGGGGTCATCAACAAAAGTATGTAAAGGCATAACAAACTCATGCATGTCATATGGATTTTGCTTGCCTTTAATGCTTCGAACTTCAGTATGCTTCCTGGTATCTCTCTAACAAAGTTACAGAAGAAGCAAGCATTACTATAGCCTTGGGTGAAAAACAAATGTCTGCAAATATTGAAAATTAGAAGATTTCTTGATATGGGAAGTTTAAATTAACCTATCAAGAGAATCTTCTTTTCAATAAGATTCTCTTGATAGGTTAATTTAAACTTCCCCATCCCTATGTTATTTTGCCAGGACTGATTTGGCCTACTAATGTTTGCACTTCTTTTATTTCCAGCGATAGTGTATCAAACTCTCCACAACAAAACTGTGGAAAATTACTCGGCCTACAGTTGCTGTTATAACTCTAGCAAGATGTAGCTTTAACACATGGTATAATTTTCATGCAAGATAGACCTGCTAGACTGTTGTTCGATATGGGAACATCACATTTATTTGTTAACATAAATTTTGTTAGGACTTCTTGCTTGGATACATTAGATATGCACTCTATACTATCAGTAAAGAAAATTTTAAAAATTGTGTATAAAAAATGATTGTTAATGCCTAATCGAGGTGACGGCCTCCAAGCTATATATAACTCACCCCCATTAGCTGATAACTACTTTTGCGAAAATTCTATGGATTAGATGAGTCGTAAAGAGGATTTTATGTTCAGTCGATATGGAGCACATTTGGTTATTAGGTGCATGTGTGATATATATTTTATGTATGGTGTTAATTTTAGATACTTTTGGTCCATATGTGTCATACCATGGTTTGTTGGATTATCAGTATTGCAATGATTATCTAAATGGATATTGTAATGAGCATCATGTAATGATAAATCTGAATGTACCATCTATTGTAATGAGCATCATGTAATAATGCATCTGAATGTCACATATAAATATGCAAATTTGGATCTTGTAAATTATTTAGAGGGAAAAGATCAACGTCTAATGAATCTTTTTTGGTTTAAATGTTTTATTTGCATTGCTATACATTGTTATAAATGATTATATTAAATGCCTATGATATATGTATTCAGTCAAGAATTGCCAATGTACAACTGTTCTGCTACTATGTATGTAAATTTTTAATAAAGGTAGATCAAGCATGGATTGGCACCCCATTCTTCCATAGTTGCTCACTCTTTCCTTGTTGAGTGAGCAAGTTTGAGCGAAGCATGTCGTAGTATTGCAGGATTAGGTGCAGGATTGTAGCAAGGATGCAAGAAAGCAAGAGAACGAGCTTGCAATCCCATTATAAAAATGAAAAAGAGGGCAATGGTTAGCAACTAGGTCTAGGAGTAACCCTACTCTAACACTATGTTGAAGGGAAAAGAATTTTTTAAATATTTTTAAATAGAGATTTCCTCTATATAGAGAGGCTCGTAAGGAAATCTAAGAAAGCAATATGCGATGCAAAGACCTTAGCTTTTAGTGATTTATACAATAGATTAGATACTAAGGAGGGAGAAAGATATATGTATAAGTTAGCCAAACAAAGAGATAGGAGTAGTAAGGATTTAGTTCAAGTGAAGTGTATTAAGGATGAAGATCAAAAAATACTTTTCTTAGAAGATGATATTCAACAAAGATGGATGAGATATTTTGCTAAACTTTTTAATAAAGATTGTGATAATAAGATTGACTATAGTGACCTTAGCATCCTAAATGAAAATAAAGATTTTTGTTTTTATCGGTGTATTAGTAAAACTGAAGTTAGAGAGGCTTTAAAGAAAATGAAGAGTGGAAAAGCTGTTGGACCTGATGATATTCCAATAGAGGTGTGGAAATGCTTAGGAGATGAAGGAATTTCATGTCTTACTAAACTTTTTAATACTATTTTGAAGAATAAATAGATGCCAGATGAGTGGAGAATGAGCATTTTAATTCCTATTTTTAAGAATAAAGGTGATGTACAAGATTGTGCGAATTATAGAGGTATTAAGTTAATGTGTCATACCTTAAAACTATGGGAGTGAGTTATGTAGCATAGGCTGCGGTGTGATACTGATGTTTCTCAAAATCAATTTGGATTCATGCCGGGTAGGTCGACTATGGAAGCCATACATTTATTAAGAGGTTTGATGGATAAATATAGAGAAAATAAGGAGGATCTACATATGATATTTATTGATTTAGAAAAAGCATATGATAAAGTTCTAAGAGAAGTGCTATGGAGAGTTCTTGAAAAGAAAGGAGTCAATAATGCTTATATTCAAATCATTAAAGATATGTATGCAGGAGCTATTACTTGTGTTCAAACACAAGGTGGTTTGACCAAGTATTTTCCTATTTCGATTGGGTTACATCAATGATCAGCCTTAAGCCCATATCTTTTTTCTTTAGTCATGGATGATCTCACTACACATTTGCAAGAGGATGTACCTTGGTGTATGCTTTTTGCTGATGATATTCTTTTTGTTTATAAGACTAGAGAGGGAGTTGAAAGTAAACTTGAATTATGGAGGTCAACATTAAAGACTAAATGTTTTCGCTTGAGTAAATCTAAAACAGAACATATGGAGTGTAATTTTAGTAGTAATAGACCTAGTGAGGGGTTTGTGACTTTGGGCAATCGTCATTAATAAGAGTACACGTTTTAGATATCTTGGATCTATTGTTCAGACTAATGGTGAAATAGATGGGGATATTATTAGCAGAATTCAAGTTGGATGGTTGAAGTGGAGGAATGCATCGGGCATGTTGTGTGATAGAAAAGTACCCCTCAAACTTAAGGAAAAATTCTATAAGATGGTAGTGAGGCCTGCAATGCTTTATGGTGCGGAATGTTGGCCATTAAAAGAGAAGCATAATACTATGTTAAGTGTGGCAGAGATGAGGATGCTCAGGTGGATGAGTGGCTTTACCCTTAGAGATAGGATACAAAATGAGCATATACGTGAAAAGGTTGGAGTAGCTCCAGTAGAAGATAAGATTAGAGAGAGCCGCCTTAGATGGTTTGGTTACATAAAACGGCGGCCTTCCAATGACTCGGTTAGGAGAGTATAGGTATTAGATTTAACTTATGTTAAGAAAGGTAGAGGCAGACCTAAAAAGACTTGGTTAGAAAATATTAAGAATGACCTTTCTTTATTAGATTTAAACAAGAATTTGACCTTTAATAGAACACAAAGGAGAAAAAGGATTCATGTAGCCGACCCCACGTAGTGGATAAAGGCTTGATGTTGTTGTTGTTGTTGTAGAGATTTCCTCTATATAAAATAAAATAACTAAAAAAATAGGCCAAGGTGTAATGAAATAAACATACACCACTAGCCATATTTAGATAAATTTTCTAAAATGATATTTCATATGGCAATAAACACAAAGTCATTAAAGTCAAAAAGGCAATAAATGTTTGAAATTGAAAATGAAATCCAAGATAATAAAACGTCTATATTTTGGCGCCATATAGAAGAAATTTGGTCAAGGTTAGGTTTTGGCGACAAAACAAGCTCAACCCATAGGGAGCTAAACTGGGTCATTACTACATAGCATAACACTTCTTAAAGTAACATCAATTGATAGGAGGCATGGTGTATGTCTTCTCAATCAATGAGTTGGTGAGATTCAACTTCATGCACCTTCTCCATAACGTAGGGACCTTTCCCAATAGGTTCACATTTGCCACCTTTGTTGCTATGTGGAACAATAGGTTCTTGTGGAATCAAAACAAGATCTTTGGTAATAGTTCTAGTTCGAACCAACTGATAGTGAGCTTGAGTAAAACTAGCACGGAAAAGTTCAAAGTTCTATCGAACCTAATGCCATGGATTATCGAAAGCCTCAGGTTCATTATGTCATAGGCAAGCATTTTAGCCCTATGCAAGAATACAGTCAAGGACACACATGCTAAGGGGAGTTTAACCTCTAATGAAATGCCAGCTTCTACCCCAAATGTAATGCAATCAAAAATCTGTGAGAGGGCCCCAAATTTTTGATTGCATCAAATTGGTATCAGAGCAAGTTCGCTTATTTTTGAGTTGGTAGGAGTCTTTCTCTTTTGTGTTTAACAAATGGCTAATGATCATGGGGATTGGCAACAAATGATGCAACAATTGAATAATTTGCAACAACAAATCAACACGGTAGCTGAAGCAATTGCTAATCTGAATGTCAATCAAGCTGATGTTAATCCTAATATTCAAACTTCTGAAAGTGAGAAGGAAGAACCTAGAAATCAAAATAGGCGGCAAAAAAATTGGGATTACGGAATTAAAATCGATGTCCACAATTTTGAAGGAAAATTACAACCTGAACAATTCATTGAATGGGTAGAGAAAATGGATCAATTTTTCGAATGGAAAGAAATCCCGGATAATCGAAAAGTCAAATTCGCAAGTTTAAAACTGACAGGACATGCATTAACTTGGTGGAAAAACTTACAAAACAACAGATTAAGGCAAGGCAAAGAAAAAATTCAAACTTGGGATAGGATGAAAAAAAAGATGAAAGGAAAATTTCTGTCTTCTGATCATTCAAGAACTATCTTTCAGGAATTTAACAATTTGCGTAAAGGAAATCAAACTGTGGAAGAATACACTGAAAACTTTTATAAATTGCAAGCTAGAAATAATTTGGATGAGTCTGAGGAGAAAACCATAACAAGATATCTTAATGGGTTAAAATGGACAATTCAGGATCAATTTAACTTGCATCATATCATTAAATTAGATGAAGCTTATCGCATGGCCTTGAGAATTGAAAAACAACATTTGCGGGGAAGCAACAAAATAACTTAAACATATAAGCGGCGCCAAACTAGTGGAACTAAGCTTCAATCTCAAACTTTTGCAGGAACTTCGGGAGTGAAAGTTAAAGCTTTTGAAAGTCAAAATCAGGATAAGGGTAAGGGGGTAATGGGATCTAAACCTACTTAACAATCTAAACTGATTGGGCCTTGTTACAAATGTGGTATATACGGTCATTTGTCGGTTACTTGCAGAAAAAATAACCCTCCATGAAATAACTTCATAGAAAATGAAAAGGAAATAGAGGAAGAGGAAGATAACGAAACAGAATTTGAAACTGAAGCTGAAATGGAAAATTTTGACTTGGAAGGTGATGAAGGAGAACCATTGTTAGTAATTCGACAAGTTTTAATTGCTCAAATTGAAAAGAAAGATAAATGGCTTAGAAGAAACATCTTTAGGATCACCTGCACTGTTGAAGGAAAAATTTGTACCTTAATGATTGATAGTGGAAGTTCAGGAAATTTTGTGTCACAACACATGGTGAAGAAGCTTAAATTGAAAACAAAACCTCTTGTTAAGTCATATAAAATATCTTGGTTTAAAGAGGGGAGTGAGGTTCCTATAACCAAACAATGCATTGTGAACTTAACAATTGGAGGAACTTACAAGGATCAAATTGTCTGTGATGTTGTACCTCTTGAAGTCTGTTATATCCTTTTTAGGTCGTTCATGGAAGTATGATCATAAAACCATTCATGATGGAGAAAAGAACACATATACCTTAATTAAAGATAATAAGAAGTTCACTCTTTTTCCATAAAAAAAATATTTCTGACTCAGCAACAAAAAATAAAAAGTCTGCGAAATCTTCCACTCCTGAATTGCTTTTAAACACAAATGAAATAACATAGTCTGATGTGGTATATTTGGTGCTTAGAAAAGAAATTGATTTAACTCTTGAGATTCCTAAAGAAATACAACCATTGCTAAATGAATTCTCTTATTTAATACTTTATGAGTTACCAACTGGTTTACCCCCAATGAGAAACATTCAACATCATATTGACGTAATTCCTGGAGCTACATTGCCTAACCGTTCACATTACAGGATGAGTCCAAATGAACATCAAGAACTTTCTAAACAACTGTCTGAACTGTTGGAAAAGGGTTTAATTCAAGAAAGTCTAAGTCTTTGTGCTGTGCCTGCTTTGCTTACTCCTAAAAAAGATGGAACCTGGAGAATGTGTGTCGATAGCCGAGCCATAAATAAGATAACCAACAAATACAGGTTTCCAATTCCTAGGTTGGATGACATGCTAGATATGCTAAGTGGTGCCAAAGTTTTTTCTAAAATTGATTTGAAAAGTGGGTATCATCAGATAAGAATTAGACCTGGGGATGAATGGAATACTGCTTTTAAAACCAAAGAGAGCTTGTATGAGTGGCTTGTTATGCTTTTTGGTTTGTCAAATGCTCCAAGTACTTTTATGCGAACAATGAATCATATTTTGCGACCTTTTATTGGGAAGTTTGTGGTAGTATATTTTGATGATATTCTAATTTACATCATTCGTCCATCTAAACATCTGTTTCATGTCAAACAAATTTTGCAAACTTTAAGGGAACAAAAATTGTATATCAATTTGAGGAAGTGTTCTTTTAAGACTTCAAGTTTGACATTCTTCGGTTACATTGTGTTTGCTAAGGGAATCAAAGTAGATTGAGGCAATAAAAAGCTGGCATGTTCCTAAAAATATCAGTGAGGTAAGAGGTTTTCAGGGGTTAGCATCTTTTTATCATTGATTCATTAAAAACTTCAGTTCTGTGACCGCTCCTATCACTGATTATTTAAAAAAGAAAATCTTTAAATGGACCCCTGAGGTTGAAAAAACTTTTCAACTTATCAAAATCAAAATATGTCAAGCTTTTAAAGGAACTGCACAAAATTCTAGTTTGTATACTCCTCTACCTATTCCAAACAAACCTTGAGAGGATATTTCTATGGATTTCATTTTGGGTTTGCCAGTTACTTCTCGAAAATTTGATTCTGTTTTTTTTGTTGTGGATCGATTTAGCAAAATGGCGCATTTTATTCCTTGTAGGAAAACTTCTGATGCTTCTTACATTACTGGTTTATTTTTTAAAGAAATTGTTCATTTTCATGGTATTCCTCGTACTTTTATTTCTGATAGAGACACTAGATTTTTTAGTCATTTTTGGAGAACTCTTTGGGCAAAACTTGGAACTACTCTTCAATTTAGTAGTGCCTATCATCCTCAAACTAATGGGCAAACTGAAGTTGTCAATAGAAGTTTAAGAAATTTGTTAAGATGCCTTGCTGGAGAAAAACAATCTCAATGGAATTTAGTGTTACCTCAGGCTGAGTTTGCTTACAATAATTCTGTTAATCGTTCCACTGGAAAAACTCCTTTTGAAATAATTTATGGACAACCTATTCCTCACATTTTAGATAGAAACTGCTTGTCCTTACCTAAAAAAACTAGTTCTGAAGCTTTTGAAACATTTGACCACATAAAAACTGTCCAACAGCAGGTCCTTGAAAAACTCCAAAAGGCTAATGCTAAGTACAAATCTACTGCCGATAAACATCGAAAAGAAGTGAATTTCAATGTGGGTGATTTGGTTATGGCTTACTTTCGACGCCAACGATTTCCTGTTGGAACTTTTACAAAGTTAAGCCGAAAGAAATTTGGCCTTTTTCGTGTGCTTCGAAAATTAGACACTACTGCCTACTTGCTGGATCTACCAATTACTGTTGGCACTTCTCCTGTTTTTAACATATCTGACCTGTCTTTGTATGAAGGAAATTTTGATGATTCTGTAGATATTGAAACTTTGCCACTCTCTACTTCTTTGGCAAAGTCTGAAGATCAAATTAAAGATGTTGTTGATATGAAAGTCACTAAAACAAGACATGGGGAACACAAGAGGTTCTTGGTCAAATGGAGCAATCGACCGTTAACTAATTGCACCTGGATTGATGCTGCTGATCTAAAAAATTGAAATTTGGAGCTTTATGAAAGAGTTGCTGAAACGTTCTCATCAGGAGATGAGAATTTTCCACCATAAGGGAGTTGATGCTATCAAATATTCTGTATTTTTATTTATATTAAACATTAGTATATTTTTTATGTTCTTTTCTTTTTATAGCTATCCAATGATGGGAAAGCATCTAATGATCATGGTAGGTTGTTATTGGGGCTTAGTAGACCTTTGGTTTGTTGGCTCGATTGGTCCTTGGCTGCTGCTGGTTCACGGGTTGTCTTATGGTCCACGGTTTTGGAGCCTATGGTGATGTGTGGAAGAGGATAGTGCATTGGAGTTGAGCTTATTTTCTTAGTTGCTAGCTCATTAATGATGAGTTGAAGTTTAGAAGCTCATTAATGTTCTAAGGTAAGCTCATAAGTTGGATTCATTATTGGAGTGGTCTTGTCCCTTCTCCTCCCCTTTCTTCTTTAAAATTTGTCCTTATCCCATGGGATTTCGTGGCTGTTTTTTGGGCTTCCTGTGCTGGTTGTTTTCCGTGCCATGGCTCCTTGGTTTCCCCGGTTGGCTGCTGGTTTTCCGTGTTGGGTGGCCTTTCCGTGTCTTTTGGCGCCTCGATTCTGTGCGGGCCTCTTTGGTTCCGTGGCTGCCTCTTCGAGTCCCTGGCTAGGCTGTTTCCCGTGAAGTGTTGGGGGGATTTTCGTGGTTTGTGATGCTTGGATTCCTGTGGGAATTCAATAAATTGACTGTTTGGTTTCTCCTCTCTTGCCTATAAATATAAGATGGTTTGAGATGGAATAGTAGTTGAATATTGAGAGCAAATTTGCTATAAACCTGCGGGTTCTTGGAAAAGCTTGCAAGCTTGTTTCATTCTCCTTCTCTTCTTCTAGGAAAGACTTGCGAGTTCTTTCCACCCTTCTTCTCAGCTTCTAATCTCTTTCGTCTCTCCGCAAATTCCACTCCATCTGTATCCTTCTTCTTGAGCTTTGGTGATGTTTGTTGGCTGATTTGGAAGCATTTGCTAGACGAGTTTGGATTGGACAATTGGACTATCTTGCAGTGGTGGACCATTAGTTTGCTAGCCCTAAGCACTTATTTTACTTAACTTACATTTCGATGCATGTGAGGAACCCGCTCTGACGGTTGTCTGAGGATAGCGTTGTTTTTATTGTTTCTTTGAATTCTCTTCTAGTTTTCTTCGACGGATGTCATAGATGATTGCTACTATTTGAATCAAGTTTGGTTTAATTTTGCCCTTTGTCTCCTTGTTTGTTTTTTTTCATCTACTGTGCTTACATCAAAATGCCAATGCATATACAATCATTTAAGTTAATGATATGTGGTTATCTAGGCTTATAATATCCATATATTTATGACAAGTTCAGAAGTACTATAATCTTTTCTTAGAGAAATGTTGTCTTAAGAAGCCAGGTTAAACGTCATACGTGGGCATGATCATCCAAGCATAAATTGGTAACCTCAACAAAATTAAAGAAAAAATTGGCTTCATCCTAAAACATGTCAGAGATTGAAAATAGCAAATGTCTGCAAAACAAGGTAATGAGAAATACCCGGGCAAATAAGTCTTCTCTCATCCAAGGAACAAGGAACTTCCATGGCCATATATCTAGAGTACTTACTCCACGAGATCGGGATTTCATATTTTTAGTCATTTGTGTAGCTGAAGTTAAATTTGGATGTACAAGAAACCTAGCTGCAACTTCCACTGAAAATTCATATGTGCTAAAAACACGATCAATTGGATTTCTTAATATTGTTATCATCGAAGTTTTATCTTTGGGCAGCTTTGACATCAAGCTATAGTCATCATGAGTAGCAAGTAATCTACAGTTAGTTTCCCTGCAAAAAATCAAAACCAACTATTCAGTAACCCATAACCACATGAGCTAATTAAATTAGATCACTTGTTTCTAGATGATATATGATGCCAAAAAAGAAATTGGCACCAAGAAACGTTTCCCTTGCCATTGTTATAACTTTTTTTTTTTTTTTGCCATTGTTATAACATAACAACTATAAAACTTCCATACAAATAAAAAACAACAAAAGCTACAGATTTAGAGCGAATTAGCAAAGCATGATTAAAAGGTTTGGGTTACTGCTTTAAATAATGTAATTTGAGGAGAAAAGTACAACCCGTGGTTATCGTATGCCAGTTTGGCATGAAAATAATAACCTTCCAAGGACAAAAGGGAAGACAAGGAAAAAAAAATTAGAAAAAACAAGGGCCAGTATGTGCTCTAAGGCATGGTAAAAGATGATGGTGTCAACTGTATTTACCTTGGGTCAAAACGTAATTTGTCGTAGGAACGGGGGCACTCATCGGTGTTAGCATATAGTTTCTTCAAGAAACTGTTGCAGGAAAAATACAAAATGACAACCAAAAATAATTTCTCAAATTCAATATGCTGTTCTGATGATAGAATTGAATTATTAAAAAAAAAAGGAAAAAGACAAACCAAGAGTAATAAGTTCGCCCTCCTGTTCTTGGAACATGTAAGAAAAATAAAAAATCCTTTAGAGTCAGCTTGTCTGCCTTGATTCTATTGCCAGCTGAAGATTTAGCCCACTTCCTAACCATGCTTTCACAGTAGGAGAAATCATCCTCGCCCTTGGATGCAAGTACTGATGCAAGGATTAGAAATGTTTCAGGAAAAAGATTTCTAACTATTTTATTAATCAGTTAAGCATGTTTTATGGGCCCCTAATGTTTTATATTATGCAAACTAAATTTCCTAAGAAAGGGAAGCGCTGAGCTAAATAAGTTCATGACTAGCTGCAGAATAAAGAACATATAAAACTAAATACTTGCAAAAACATGTATAGATGAACAAGCCAAGTTGAAATATATACTACTGTATTCAGAGGTGTAAACGAGTCGATTTCGAGCCACCCTTGGCTTGAGCTTAAGATTTACTAATCAATTGATTTATAGATCAAGCTTGACCTCAATTCTATGGGTTCGAGCCGACTCATTTATTATAAAAGAAAGAAGATGATTTAGATCCAAGTAGTTGTAGTAATTAAATGATAAAAAAGAACGATAAATTAGCGGAGAAATAATAGCAAATGACTTGAAATAAGGAAGTGACATAGATTTTAAATGCTTTAAAAAAAAATTATTTAAGCCCTTGAATTATAACGTAATTTAAGTATATTTTATATTAGCATTTTTTAAATGAGCCGACTCATTAGCTAAAAAATTAAATCGGAGTTAACTCAAGCTTGGCTTATTAGCTCATTGAACTTGTCTTATGAGCCATTTACTGAGTCGAGCTTGAGTCAGCTGATGAATTAGCATGATTCAATTGTATTCATTATGAGAAGAAGATTATGATCAAAACTTTGCATGAAAGGGAAGACAATAAGTAAGATGCTAGGAGAGTAAATACTATACCCAAAAAAATAAGCACCAATAACATGCCAAGTCTTCGTGTCTTTGCCATTACGAGTTAAGGCTGTTTACAAACAAACAGCAACATTAGCCTTCAATGGTGTGCCGGTGACATAAACAGGAGGTTCAAAACTTAAAATTGGTACCAAATATTCCTGACAATTACTTGAAAACACTATGACCTCTACTGATTATCACTAATCTTTTAAACCAAAAAACTAAGCATACACTCCTACAGATACAAGAAAAGCACAAAATGCAAAATGAAATATCTTAACTATTGTCAATATAAGAATTTAAACAGAACATCAACATAAAATGTTTCAATAGGAAGCTAAAAAACTTCACAAATCAAAAACAAGAAATAAGCATTACAACAAATTACACAACATATAAATGAAAACTAAATGGAAAAAGCAGGGTAAGCCTTTGATAGAATACAATATGAGCCAATAAAAAATGAAAACTGAAGGGACAAAACACAGTAAGCCTTTGCTAGGACACTAACTATATGAACCGATAGAAATAGTTCTAAGGAACCAGCAAACGAAGTCCAAAGAAATTTAAAAAAAAAAAAAAAAAAAAAAAAAAAAGTCTGGCAGAAAGTTTGAACGTTTGAATCCAAGGAATCTTATATCTTAAGAGTATGTTTCTGAATCGAAGTTCCCTAAAATTATAAACTCAAAATTTTCCAAACTGCTGATAAAATTAGGAAAAACAAAACATCACCTTGCACAATGTCAACTAGAGAGCCCCATAAGGGATCTACCACGTGAAAGAACATAAAGAAGAAACAATTGAACGACCTCTAATACAATATCAAAAAACCTAGCCGACCAAATACCACAATCCGCATTCAAATAAGATTACTATGACCTTCTTCCAAAAAACCCTAAAAACACGATTTTGAAAAATGTGCAATAAAACCTAACAATCAACTTTGTAGTACATTTCAGCAACATAATAACATGGAAGCCGAGAGTGAAGAGGGAACAAACTACCAGAATCTCGAGTTCATGAAACGTAATTTCCGGGGAATAACCGATTTCCAGAGAAGCCCCTGAATCCAACACCCGAAGAAGCTTCAAGGTCCGGCCAAAAATCAAATTTGAATTTTTTCCCGACAACTTTTCTCTGACTTCTCGCTGTACCATTCCTCTCGGATTTAAAGGAAACTTTTTGAGTGGAGATCGAGAAGGTGGATCGATTGAAGAAGAGTTGGAAATAAAGTATTTCTCAAGTTGAAATTAGAAATTGGAGTTGAAGTCAATAAAGCAAAAAATGGTTGACAAATGTTTTCTATAAAAATGAGTTGATTTATGTATCAAAAATTAAGCATCAGCGATGTCAGAGAATCAATTAAAATTTAAAATAATGGTTCCTGATTTGATTAATACTGTTTTTTTTTTTTTTGGGACTGAGTGATTTATATTCATTAGTTTATTTAATTAAATAAACAAATTATTTCATATGAACTTTTTTTTTAAATAAACAGACCAATTTATAAAAAGAAATATATTTGCCATCGTAAAAAGCGAAAGAAGCAGATAAAATTTATGATTTAATTTGGTGTGAAATTCTAGAACAAAAATCCGCATTCAGTTGTTTGCGGATGTACGCCAATCATTCTTTTTTATAAAAAATTTTGTTAGATTGCTATTTAAATTATTTTTGTAAGATGTAAATATTATGAAGTTTAATTTTTTTGGAAATAGATTGTATTTTGTAAATTATATTTTGTGTAAATTTTTAGAATGTTATTTAGAAATATTACATTATAATTTATCAGGATTCTGCTCAGCCTTTGATCAAATATTTTATGTAATTAGATATATGTTTTAATAATATTATTTTTTTGAGAAATGAAATACTGATATGTTCAAGAACTTCCTCCATGTTTTGCTCCTGTTTGTTTATTTTGGTTAGATCCTTTTGCAGAATAAATTATTTATGAAGATATTTTATTTTGGTTGTCTTAGATTTCGTTTGGGATAATTTTTTTTATTACTTCTTAAAATAACTTTTAGTATAAAAATTAAAAAAAAAATTACTAAAAAGCTGCTTTGAGAAGCAGTAAGAAAGCCGTCCCAAACGAAACCTTATTTTGACAAATTCATCCACCAAATCTTGCTTCTGTTTATTCAAAGAAGCTTGCAAATTAATGGATTTAAGTTGAGTTTCAAGATTTATTTCAAAAACTTAGAAAACCTAAATAGAAAATTAATTTAAATTTTAGCAAATTATATTAAAAGTATAGCTAATATCTTTATTTAGAAGAAGTGAACAGAAAATTAAGTATACTAGTTGAACTATGTGGATCATTAGAAAGTTAAATTATTAATTTATTTGTAATGCTAATATCTTTATTTATGTATTAAGAAAATGAACAGAAAGATAACATTAATTAAAAATAACATTATAGGTGGATTACCTTGCATGTTCATCTTATTTAAAAAAGATTAATGAGTAAACTTTTTTTTATGAATAAGTGATTATTTTAAAAACATAATATTACAATTAAAAATTGTTAATAGGATAGATTATTTTTGTATGTTCTATAATTTTGTATATTAAATTTATTGAGTTTGACAGTATTGCATGACATTAGAAGGTAAATTATTTCAGAACTTTTTTTTTTCAAATAATTGACCATTATTATCAGTAAATGAAACATTTATTTTTTTTATGAGATATTTCTTAAATTTCTATTAATTTCCACATTCACTTTAAGATTGGTTTAAATATCGTCTTTCAAAATAGTATTATGAATGATTTGTCGAATGACACGTGTGAATTTATTTATTTATTTAAAGAACATATGAAGATCAGATTTCGTGCAATGTCACACTTTATTCTGTATTACGATGGTTATCTGAACATAATGGAGGATTTCATCCATTCATACATCAGTGGAAGAAACTGTCCCGTTGAAATAAATAAGAATATTACAATTGAACAGTTAAATGTAAGAATTCTTGGAGCATTGCACTGTGACAGTGAAAAATGTCGGGTTGACCTTGTTTGTCATCTTTCGAATAATGGAGGTTACACTACAATCCAAGTCACTAACAATGAGGTTTGTGAGTTCATACTTAATGAAGCTCGAATACGTATTTTGATTATCGTATTCAAATTGAGCAACTGTGTAGAGGTGACATAAGTCTCACTTCTCCTCGTCAGATGGGCTATGATGACCTGACATCCTCTTACCAAGTAGACAGGTTCGTGTACACCTAATATGAACTCGATGTAGATCATAGCCCGTCCAACCATTACATTGTATTGCGTGTTGCATGCCATCTACACTACCTGGTGCTGCATATGAAAGTCGTAGCTTTTGTGTTCGTGAACGTTTACTACAATATGAACCAATATGTGTAGGCCGCTTAAGTATGAGCGAGCATCTTATATTGTTATAATCATATACGAGAGGGCATGCAAGTGTTTGTGACAGGATGTCTTCAAGCACACTGATGTTTCAGCTCCAACAACATACTAAACATTTTAAGCAGAGAAAGTATGTTGGAGTTGAAGCAGTTTTTAAAGGATATGTAATGATGGATAGTAGAACTAGTGAGAGCTCGAGTGAAACACCCATTAAGGATGGAAGAAATCCAGTTGTAGAAGACTGTGATGTATCATTGCCTGGCCATGAGTTGGTTCGTGAGCATACTTTTTATAACTAGCCTGAGTTAGGGGCAATGGTGGCAGGTAATGATTATGTCAAACTTATACGATCAGCACATGCATGGGAATGTATGGATGTTGTTGGATGGCATTATTCCAGAATAATTGTATGAAGGAATAACTTCATCACTAAGGATGTCTTTTGGTGTGCACTTAATGGGTGGTCAATCATCAACAATATGGAATACATCAAATGCATATCTAAAGCATATCTAATAAGACAAGGCTTATCATTAGGCGTGCATAACATGATAACTCATACTGTCCATGCCTATGGCATCTACACGCAGCAAAAAGCAAGCGACTTAGTGGTATACGGAAAGTCTCATCTAGTGGTCCTCCATATACTTGCATGAATCATATAATGTCAGGTGGTCATCATAATTGTAAATCCAAGTTCATTTCTTACTACATCACCACCATTCTTCATTAGTAAATAGACATGAAGCCATATGAAATCATTGCTCGGATGGAGTCTAAGTTTGACATTAAGATTCCTTACATTAAGTTTTGGGATGCATGAGGGAAGGCTATCAAATTAGTCTTTGGTAGTTTTGAGGACTCATACTGCTTCACTTTTATATGGAAGCCATTAAAATTGCACTTCCAGGATCAGATCACAACATATAAGTTATTGGAATAATCGTTTCAAATCACTATTATGGGCATTTTGTCCAACAATTGAGGGATAAAAATTTTATCACCAGGTGCTTAGCTTGGATGAGACATTTATATTGGGCAAATACATAGGGATGCTACTTGCTGCAATTGGCATTAATGGAAATGGTGGAATATACCACCTTGCATTTATTATTATGGAGGCCGAGTCAAATACATCTTGGTCATGATTTTTACGGATTTTCTACAAATTAATTCCATAGGTTCGAACCCCGACAAGACATATGCTTTGTATCTAAAAAGCACTATAGAATAGCTCAAGGATGTCGGGATATCTTTCCGTACGCATCACATAGTTACTACTTCCGACACCTTAGGGAGAACTTCAAGAAATTTATTCGGCGTGTTGTAGTTACTGATTCATAAGATATTTATGAGAAAATATACTTTGTTGGGAACACAGACAAGTTCAGAACTTTTAAAAGACTCGTGGTAGATATAACAAATATTAAGAAGGAAGTGCATTAGTGGTTGGTCGAGTGAAACGTCAATAAGTGGAGCCTTTTGTATGATGGTGGGTACCATTACGTGATCATGACCACAAATGCTTCATAATGCTTTAATGGGATTTTAAAATGTGCACATGGCCTACCCATTTAGGGTCTAATCACAACTATATACTACAACCTTGTAATTTTCTTTAATAAGTTTTCGACTAATATAAGCATTTGGGTTGCTACTGCGGAGTCTCCATTTACTATATAAGGAGCTCGTTCAAGCAATATGAGCATGAAGTACTCGTTGTCCAACCCCAATTTACATAAATAACTAGGAGTATCATGTATTTGATATGTCTTGTAGGGATTTCAAGGTAGAAATCAGTTCAACTCTAATATGTTAGTGTAGTTATAACAAGCAATAATTGTACCATGCATATACCATGCCTCCATGCTATCATTGTTGTTGGAGAGAAAAGATGAGATTACATTATGCTTATTTCACCCTACTACAACATATAGTTCTAACAAAGTTATGCTACTCTTTTCATGTTATATTAGAGAAGCTATATTGGCCACTATTTGACGAAATAATAGGAATAAGACCATTACTACCCCCAACATTGAGGAAATGGGATTGGCGACCACAATCCAGTAGATTTAGGAATACAATGGATGAACCAAAAAACAATACTATGTAATAACTCATATTTTGATCGAGGTAAATATTTTTTTCTAGAGTCAATATTACTCCAAATCCAAATCGTCTTCTCCATAATGTTGTTATTATAGTATTTTACTTGCATGAAATTTTTCGTAATTTTTAGGCAACGGTGAAAATCCTTAAGAAATTGGTATCTGTCGGTACAATTGAGGATTTTGGGACCGTCAGATGTCTGTTTTGCAAACTAGCTTTATCGTTATTTTCTAAATAATATAATTTATTTTATTGATATTTTTTATAATTTTTAAAGCCCAAAATATTTTATATGAATTTTATATTAAAAAATTAATTAAATTTAATAGTTATATTAATATTATATATAATTTTATTATAAATATCAAAATCCACTAATGCTTATTAAATACATTTTATTTTCTTTCTAATTTCAGCAATAGAGACATGGCTTGAGAGATTTAGAGAGAAAAGTGATGAGAGAGAAAAAGAAAATTCAAATTTTAAGATCACGGAGCAATTTTCATTAGTCGAGCCTGTTGGGAGATTTACTCGTTTCAGTGTAAGGAACCTTTACCCTATTTCTGATTACAAAGATTTTGTATTTTTAGTATTTTTTGATCAAATTTATGTTAATATTATCGAAAAAAATGTGAATAATTTTGTATTGATAAAACTTTCACTACGTAACTTTTTATATTTTATAGATATTTAAATTATGCATATTTTAAGTATTAATTTGATATTTTTCACCGGGTGATTTTTGCCTACTCAAAAATTTATTTTAACATCTAAAGAAAATGATTTAGTTTAACTAAAGTTTCATAATGTTATTTTATGCTATATTTGATAATTTGGTTAAATTCTAAAAAT